CCCACTTTAGAGACAAAAGACCATAATAATAATAATAATAATAATAATAATAGTGTAATAATAATTGTCAATTTATATAGCGCATAATGTACAATACCAAAAATTACCAAAAGTTTCACCTAACAAAAATAATGGTTTTGGCGGACAAAAATGAACACTTTCCCTCCAATTAAAGACCACTATAAAATAATAGTGATGTTAATGCCATTTTTTCTATAATAAATTTTGTTATGCGGCTTAAACATAGAAATACTAGCCAATGCACATCATAAGATGATGTTTTGTGTATATTGAGTAACAATGTTAGTGGTGATGTAATATTTTAATGAAAAGTTGCTTAACAAGTACAGGAATTGATGTTTGGATTTCAAAGAAATCCTATATTAAGAATAATTAACATCATGCAGTAACCGCAAATTCATTCCAAACATTTAAAGTATTATTTCTTAATTTCCTTCTAAAAGAGAAATTTAACGAACACATTTAGTGGCGGTATTTAATTGGTATCTATTACACCAAAAATGGATGGTTTTATGAATATACAGTGACATTAAAATAGCACAACAAAGATGGTGTTTTGTGTACCAGTGCTTTAGTGAATAGGCATCATAATGATAGTTTTACGGCAGACAGTAATTCATTCTAAAGACTTGGAATAAAACATTCAACGAAATATGTAGCATATGGTTTTGGCAGACCCAACGAAAAATGTTCTCTTCAAATAAAGAATACATTACAATACACCGTGACTTTAATGCAATTATTTTTAAATAATAAATGATACAATACCAAAAATTATTAAAAGTTTCACCTAACAAAAATAATGGTTTTGGTGGACAAAAATGAACACTTTCCCTCCAATTAAAGACCACTATAAAATAAATAGTGATGTTAATGCCATTATTTCTATAATAAATTTTGTTATGGGGCTTAAACATAGAAATACTAGCCAATGCACATCATAAGATGATGTTTTGTGTATATTGAGTAACAATGTTAGTGGTGATGTAATATTTTAATGGAAAGTTGCTTAACAAGTACAGGAATTGATGTTTGGATTTCAAAGAAATCCTATATTAAGAATAATTAACATCATGCAGTAACCGCACATTCATTCCAACCATTTAAAGTATTATTTCATAATTTTCTTCTAAAAGAGAAATTTAAAGAACACATTTAGTGCCGGTATTTAATTGGGATCTATTACACCAAAAATGGATGGTTTTATGAATATACAGTGACATTAAAATAGCACAACAAAGATGGTGTTTTGTGTACCAGTGCTTTAGTGAATAGGCATCATAATGATAGTTTTACGGCAGACAGTAATTCATTCTAAAGACTTGGAATAAAACATTCAACGAAATATGTAGCATATGGTTTTGGCAGACCCAACGAAAAATGTTCTCTTCAAATAAAGAATACATTACAATACACCGTGACTTTAATGCAATTATTTTTAAATAATAAATGATGGTAAGAATATATAAAATAATACACAGCATAAGACGATGTTTTGTGTACACAGTGCTCTATTCAATAGGCTTATACTAATAGTTTTAGTAGGACGATGATTTTAGTAATATTGTAATACCCCAAACAACGACGACAGCGACAACGACAATAATAATAATAATAATAACGATAATAATAAAAATAAAATAATAATAATAATAATAACGATAATAATAATAATAATAATAATAATAATAATAATAATAATAATAATAACAGGGAGGTTTAGCATGATTTACCGTTATTATCATTTATTATTATTTTATTCTTTATTATTACTACTACTACTTAGTAGTAGTAGTCCCAGTTGTTCCTAGTATTCGTCGCTCTTACCTTGTTCATTACTGCAACCGAATGGCAAAAAACCCCCAACCCTATGCCAAAGATGTACAGCACTAACATCATTTGAAATTACTAATGAAACCGTAAATTTGTCAAAAACCGTTCGCATCAAGTTCAGAAGTGGAAATGTTCACGTATATCAGCCTAATGTGTCTTATTAAAAAATAATAGTTAAATTTAATAGATAGCAAGCACGATCATAACCATGGATACCATAAAAAACTTTTGTAATCATGTAATTCCATTAATTATTTACATCACGATCTATAGCCTCTTTCCATTATGAATTTTAATATCAATGATTCCATCTGATTGAGTTCTTTTTTTTTACACATAGGCCTTTTTACATATAGTTATACCTTAGGCATTTATGATTATCGTTATTATTATCATTATAATTATCAAGAAAAATCTAAAACTTACGGTGTTCATTAGAGTAACAGCAAACACAATACTTCGAAAAACCACGGCATTAAAAAAAAAATTCACGGCAAATTTAAAATGAAATATCACGAAAAATTCAAAATACGACAAACACGACCCAGGTGGCGCCCCATACGAAGGCTCGCTCTTATGAGGCGCCAAGTGTAAATCCACCCCAGTGCATTACTATACTGCATTAGTTTTCTCCCTGTATGAATATATTTCAATATACAGTATCATGTATGAAACTACTATGATAAAATAGGCCGTTATCCTGTTATAAATACAAATGAAAATTCGTTATTGATAAATGTATAGTCCTACATTGCTTTTAAACCATTAATAAAAGACATGCTTTTCCCTCAGTTTAGACATAGCCTACATTACATGACCGTACGCAGGTGCATGTGGGGGTGCGACGGGTGCGCACATCCCCTCCCACAAATTACCAAAGGTTCACATTTCCGAGATGAAAAAAAATCACTACCCCCTCCCCAAACATGTCAAACTTATTTTTAAAAAGAAAAAAAATTTATATTCAAATTTAAGTTTGAGAGTGCCATCTCCGGCCATCTAGAGGTGCCATAATCATGAATTTTCTTACGTCAGCCCTAACCATGGTGGGGCTGCGGTGTTATCAACTTTCAATGAATGCCAACATTCCGGGACAATATAAAAAACATCTAGACCCATTTTCTTAAAATTTTACCCATTTAAAGTTAAATAATAGAAATCTGTACCCATTTTTTTAATACTCATTTTAGGCATAAAATTGCATAACTTAGACCCATTACAAAAATTGTGTGGGACTGTCCCAACTGTCCCAGTAGCTTTCTTCTGTATTGCTCTCAATCGGTAAAATCATTCCATTCCCCCTCCCCCCACCCCTCTATATCAAATTCCTTAATCCGCCACTGATAGTGGTATTTCCTTTATCTATGAAGTCCCTCCCTGGCCTATCATCAAATCCTAGATCCGCCACTAAAACCGTACGCATCTTCAGAAATCGATTAAATATGTCTTCAAATTATCAAAAATGCCTTACCTCCACAACCTCAATCCCAGCAGCAGGGTTCCACAAAGCGCCAACCCCTCCCCCACCCCCATCTCCTGCCATATAGAGGTGCCATAATCATACATTTCCTTACTTTTCCTTCCCTTGCCCCCCTCTATATCAAATTCATAAGTCCGCCACTAACAGTGGGGGATTCAAGAAGCCCAGCTGAATCTAGTTCCCTCTAAAAAAAAAACAAAAAAAAAATTGGGAAAAAAGAAAATGATATTCAAATTGTATGAGAGTGCACTTTCTGGCCATTTTGAAGGTGCCATGGTCATAAATTTTCTCTCCTCAGCCTCAACCATGGTGGGGCTAAGGTGGTATTTCCTCCATCTGTGAAAATCCCTCCCTGGCCCCTCTTCAAATTTCTAGATCCGCCACTGAAAACCGTATATGCATCTTTAGAAATCGATTAACTATAAGACCTAAAATTATCAAAAATGCCTGAGCTCCGCCTCCTCGATCCCAGCAGGATCCCCTCCCTCTAAGCGCCCCCCCCCCCCCTCCCCCCCCCTAATTTTGTTCCAATCTTCAGAACGTTTGTATCAATCCTGTCAGTGGCGGTAAGGGCGTGGAATTATTTAATGTATATAGGCATTGGATGAAACAAATAAACATTGGATATGGCACTTGGACCGTCAGAATACAGGGGACATCCTTGTCTGATTTACAATATTTATCTGGTTTCTTACTCAGGAACACAAATTTAATGTGTGTGCTGTAATGAACCTTTCCGCTAAGCCCCGCCCCTTGGATATTGTTGCTAAGGTCCTATGTTTTTTGGAAAACAAGTGGCTTGTTGGACACGCGCGTATTCCCAGCACTGTTCTGATTGGTCAGTTGTTAAGTTTGATTGGCGAATAAATTGAATCTAGAATCTTGAACCCTCCCGTTCATCGATTCGTGCTCTGTGTATCCACAACCCCTACCACCCTTGCCTCAGCAAAATCCTGGATACGCATCACATAGAAAACAGATCTTTCATTGACGACATGATACAAGATACAAAATAGACCTTCAAATGCAATGTGAAAAATATTTACCTAATTCTCAAAAACTTTTATCTGGTTCCTTAAGAATCGTAGGAAAATTACCTGTTTTGTTGAAAAAATTAGCTGCTCATTCACCGAAGCGTGAATGACCCAATTCAACCAAGGGTTCATTAGGTTTGAAGATAGTGACCGAAGCAGTTGCTGTTAAAACCCGTTGCTAAGGATAGCAACTAATTTGTTCAACAAAACAGATATTTTTCCTAATTTACAAAATAGTCAATACAATGACGACAGCAGCTGTGCAAGAAAAGAAAAACCATAATGCTTTGTACAATCACTTTGTACAAATTATGTGAATATAAATAAATAAATAAAACTATCAACAATAACTAATAAAACATCTAGGCCTATTTTGTGACGCAAGATATATAGGCATAGAGATTACACATGTTACATTACCGTCAACTACTTATAAGTATAGATTCGAACAAAAGGCTGGCATAAGCGAAATCGTGGGCCTATCGGATAGGAATGGGAGTAAGCTACGTGGACACTAATATTTTATGTATATATATTTAGTTATTATGCCTATTATCACTTAATGTACTAAAATATTTTCCATTCCTTGCGCGCCACATCCAGCAGAACTTCATATTTCGTTTTCTTTTAAGCTGGAATCTAAGTGTGTGAAGTCGTTGGTTGAGTTTCGTTATTCGATGATGAAGTTGTGATAACGCTGCTGTTTGTTGTGTTTATCTTTGACTTCATAACGTACTTTCTGAAGAAACCAACGAGAGTCGTACGAACCTATATTTTAAAGAACAAATTATATAAAAAATATAGTTTTATATAAAGAAGTATTTGATACAATTGTAAAAGAAATGTCATCATCATCATATCATGATCATCATACCATCGACATTCATCACTATCCTGCCCATCACCATCATTATCATCAGCAGCATCATCATCTTTATCCTCATCATTATCCTCGTCCATCTCTATCATAATCATCAGCTCATCATCTTCATTATCATCATTATTATCAACATCATTATCAACATCATTATCATCACCACCACCATCATATTATTATCGCCGTCATCATCATTATTGCCTCGTCGTCTCACAATCTATTTACTGTAAAACCCGATGAAGTTTTTTTTAGCAGCGTAACCCTCTTACCTCTTTATCGACTATACAGAAGTTGATGAAGATGAAGGCTCCCTGTAGACTATTGCAGCATACAAACATGTATTGCATTATAGCAGCGCTACTGACTATTGTAAATAAGCCTAGTATCCAGGTTAAGCCAAGCAAGGGGAGCAAGATCAGGGCACCTCTGGCGGAAACTCTGTACGATCATACAAAACAAAATTTACCCAAAATTGATCAAGGACAAAACGACGAAGGGGATTCATTTGAGATAAATCACAAGGACTAATACATTAAAATGATATCTGGATACTTAAGCGATACACAAAGAATAATAAAATTCAGGGGCAATACGAGGATGATGATGAATGTGAAGTTCCCTTAATTAAATTAGGATATAAGAAACTATAATCCAAACTGATCTCACCAATGTAATTGATATTAATTTTGAAATAACTTTCAATCGTACAAAACTACATTTTACATTTAAAGGCCTAATAAATAATATCTTACTTGAGTCTTTTGAAGTTGGGGTTAGCAGCGTCATGTGTTCGTGTTCGCTACCACATCACACGGACGACCAACACCATAATTATGCTGTTTATCTAAACAAGAAGTTTTTATATCAATAAATATCATGCATGTTGTTAGCATGGACCTATTAATTTTCCCTATTATTTTTATAATAATGTCAGTGTTTTTACATTTAAATGCTAAGGTCTCCCTCCATGCGCTTCGTGCACACATTTATCATCTCAATCTTTCGACAAGAGACAAATATAACAAACAAATAAGTTATTACGTAGTCTGAACTGCGCAAGCCCATATCAAGATCAATTGACATTAACAAACATACACCACATATACACACAACAGGTTTATGTTGAATAACATTGGATACGAACATGCGCAGTTCAGACAGACTACGAAATGGCTTATTTCTCTGTTAACAAAAAACAACACCTACACACAACGATATAAAATTTACACAGATATAAATATGAAAACAATACATGTTATCAAATAGTTGCACAAAAGTATCAATAAGTCATCTTAAACATTTAAAAAAGAATTTGGCACTTTGAGACAGCCCCTGTGGTAGATGCGAGAGTTGCTGGTGCTGGCTTACTAGGTAGCACAGACACGTCATGAAAGGACCTTTGGGCCTACATATAAGTAGACTCTAAAATCGATTAATTAAGCCCTTGAAACCCCTAAATTTTTAAAATTTTCGGGGGCTACGCCTCCTGGACCACATTCGAAACCTTTTAATCGAAGCTCGACCACGCCCACATTGCTTTCGTCGGGGGAAATCTGACACCTTCTCCGAGGGCATTTCCACCCTCCGTCGGGCAAATCCTGGCGCCACCCCTGCCTTTGGGGAGGAAGTCATTGATCGAGTCCACATATCTAAATGCCTTGCATCATTTAAATGTGCTATACATTTCTATATTATTATTATCTATATATTAATTCTGCTAATTGTCACCGCGTAACTTCCCCTATCCCCTCTGAAACCGCTGACAGGAATGTGCTCATATTTCATACACTCGGGCTTCTATGTCACGACCATGCACATTTCGCTACTTTTTAAGGCTGGATATTGGATAACAACTTAAAAAAACCCCCAAAACCACCGAAAATCAGTACCTGTTTCGCCATGTTTCGCAAGTTCTTACGTCAGGTAAATACAATTAATCACATCTATTCTGTACTGCAATCCTTAGGTCTAAAAATGATCGAGTCAGGCCGTAAAAGAACCAGTCTATGGCCGTATTCGACTGGTCGTTCTTCGTTAAACCACGCCCACCTGCGCAGCGGTAAAATCCTACTTAAACGAAGATGACGAGTCCGAATAGAAAACTTGTAAATCCTCGACAAAACAAAATGGCTGCATGCTGTGTAATCAAGATTGCTTCAGCTTGTGGCAGTATGAGTTTTTAGTAAAAAAAAAAATATTTTCATCCAGTTTTTGAATTCTGTTGGTCGCATTTATTTTTTGACTTGTGGGTAAATATTATAATATTTTATTTTCTGAAATTTAATCTAAATTTTATTAACACAAATGTTGTTTCTAAACTCACCAATCGGCCATGTTTGTTTTGGTCACGTGAATAATTTAACGCTGATTAACGCACTCTGGTTTAAGTTAATTTTCGTTGTCAACGAAGTCTATTATTTTATAAACTACAGTAGTTGAATGAAAATAATACTCAACGAAAATTCGTAGTCAACGAAATGATACAATCGAATACGCCCAATGTTTCGCAGCTTCATTACGTCACCCGCCCAGTACAGTACAGTGTAGTACTTCTCACGTTCGTCGTCAACAAAATGGGTGACGACAAGCATGTATCCGTACCTCTTTGGAGTAGGCCTAACCATTGCATTATACTGGATATATTGTAGTTTTATGGCACAAAACATCAGCAATAAATGGCATGTTTTAGAAGTCGATCAGGTAAAAATAAAGATACACCTGGGCACAAGCCATGATATAACCTCGGCCTAACCATACCGGCTAGCCCTACACAGGCCTATAGAATAGGCACACAGCCTTAGGCTCTGGCCCAGGCCTGGCTCTAGCTTAGGCGCGGCCTACCCTAGCCTATGATGTCGATCACAGATAGGCCTAGACCTATGGGCCTAGGCTCAGGTGTAGTTAGCATACCTAGGGCCTATCCTCTATCTCTCGAATCCGGGTCGATTTAGAGTGCATTAAGATAGATAGGGTCAAGCTAGCTCCACGTACCAATCAATTTGAATTTACGTAAACACGTCAGGACAATGTTTACGGGTTCTTTTGAATGTCAGTCGGATATGCCTTACAATACATGCATCTACATTAATTCAAGAGAAACACTTCTCTCATGCCCAACTAGGCAAGGCCTGCTGTATATTTCTGTACTTTCACTTACAAGAGAGGGTAGCCCAAAGCAGCAGTGGAAGATCCAGTAGCCTAGGGGAAAGGGACGTCACTGTGAACGGCTCCTGCCCCGTTTTGCCACTAATTTTTTTTTTAAATTTCAATGCAATATATATGCTATTCGCTTATTCAATTATTCTGAAACTGTTGTGTCCCCCCCCCCCCCCCCCCTTTGAAAAATTAAACATTCTGGATCCACCCTTGATCGCACTGCACAATAATTCCTCACAAGGACTACAGTGTGCTGCAAAGACACTCAAAACATTAACTACAAAAACGTCCTTCAGAAAAATAATGACATGGTAACCATAACATCCACAATGATTGCCTCCTCAACTTCCCCATTCAACAATATACATGATCGCCATCTTTCCTGACTCATTCAACACGGGTATACTTATGCTAGTTATTATTGTACAATCAAAATTTATTTTAAAAGTTAAAAATGCTAGGTATATTCAATCAGTGAATCTATTAATCTGAAAAAAATAATATTTATAAAATATTCTTCAACAACCTTCAATTAATAATAAAATACCATTTAATCATCAATTCGTCATAAGCCTAAATATAAAAATGTGTTGAAGATTCATGTACAAACGCTATTATTAGTAAAATATTAATATGGTGCCCATAAATTTGCAGTGAGTGCTAATCGGTGTATTACCTTACCTTCATGCTTCTACTACCTACCATAAGAATTACGACTACTGGAGCAGCTATTGTCCATACAACTCCATTTTCATGGTTAAGCCAGCACCTGCGGAAAATACCAGTATTTCTTTTTATTTGAAAATGAGCTGATCGCTTGTTCAAATGTGTGGTGACTTTTTATTGGCCAACAAAAAAAAAAACTGGAAACAATTGTAATATAAATTTTGGTAGTTAACATGGAAATGAAGTAATAAACCGTGTTTTGCACAAGCAAATATTCTAAAATTGTTATTGTAAACAAAATGATATAAATAAATATTTTAAAACTAGTTAATTATTATGGTGGCTTAATTTGGGTAATGGGCTCAAATACGAATTCCTGAATTTCCTGATGTTTCTGATGACTAAACCGTCGACTAAACATATTTACTCTTATTTAAAGCCCCATTCCCGGCAAAATTTCACTAAAAATTGACTTTTTTTTAGAAAATATGCATTTGCATTACTTCAATTATAATAAATCATGGAAAAATATTGGCATGAATTTTAGTTTTACGCAAAAGAATAAAAAAAATGAGAAATACAGACTATTTCTCATAAAATATTACCATTTTCTCGACGAATTCATCGTTACTAGGCAAATGGTTGTAGATCGCATCCACTGGAATACTCTCGCTTTTATGTATACTTTATACAGTCAATAAAGTGCGCCCTCTCTAATGAGATTACTTTTTGTACTTCGCATCTCGCACAATGCGGTCGTTCGGTTAGGCTGAGATATTTTATTTATTTATTTATTTCAAAAATCATCCAACAGCGGAAGCCAATTACAGGATGTCTTATAATACATATAAATATATAGAAAAATACAAACAAGCGAAAGATAAATTGATAAATAACATTACAGTA